AAACATACTTATGCACATAAAACACAGTAAGTATCAAAGAAAGTCTACCTGACTCTGTCTCATCCCCAGTGACAGCCATCTCTCGTCTCCAATAATCCAGCACCACGGCAGTAAAAAACACCACAACACAAACAAACAAAACACACTCCTCTATGCTTTAACTCTTCTTTTCCTCACTACAACCTCTCCTTCTTCCTTCTCCCCTTTTCTCTCTCTGCTGTCTCTGAACCAGAGTGGTCACTCGTCAACTTTGCAGCCCGATTACAATTACAGGCATTGACATCACAATGACATCACTCCTGCCCGCTGAAGTCAGTAAAACACCCTGGATTAGAGTTCCTCCCACCCCCTCCTCCTCCTCGTCCTCTCTCTTTCCTCCCTCCCCCCTGCTGATCAGACCAGAGAAGCACAACGGCAGGCAGGGAGGGAGGGAGGGAGGGAGGTGGTAGTGGAGGGGGTGTATTTTTAGCAGCAGTGACGCAACTAGAGAGACGCTCGACAAACAAGAGGATATTGTGTCCCAAGCGGCTGCTATGCAAACTGTTAAGCACCCTCATTCAAGTTGTGTGTTTGTGTCTTAAAGGACCAGCGGGACATGACGTCAGACAGATAATTGAGGGGTTTTTACGACTCTCACTGATTATTTCACAGCATTAGTAGTTAAAGCCTGAGATCATATTTGCTGTTTTGAACATGAAGTCGAACGAGTGACTGCAGGGGAAAATCCTCAGCCACACAGGAAGCCGTGATCTGTGTGTTTTCTAGTCAATTGAAAAGGCGGTTACTTCCTAAGAAGAAGGCTTGAGTCGGGTGACGGCAGTAAAACAGAAATTGATGTGACCCACAGAAACTCAGAAATAAGAGAAGTTATATTCATGACTTAGAACAGAAAGAGAAATGTGAAGCCAAAACACAAATTTGATTTACGATATCAACACAGATTGAACTTTTAATTTGAAAGCGCCAAATTATGTTGATGTTTAGGATTGGAAAAATGATCATTTGCCTTGAAAAAAAAAGAGTTTTATTAGTATTAAAAGTAAGTTCAATATGCTATTATAGTGACTTAGATTGGAGGATGCCGCACAGAGACTAAGTGGGACTGTACCTGCGACTCGTTCCTATCAAAATAAAATTCAAAGTCCAGATATGTTTGTTGATTTTTATAAAACTTTTACATTTTTGAAAAAATAATTCTAAACAAAAGTCCAAACGATGATGAAAATTACGACGATGACGACGAGGATAACGATGACAGTCTACAGAAAACATTTCAAACCCACTCACCCTTTTTGTCTATCCTCCTGCCACAACAACGCACGGGTAAAAATCAGGTGAAACCACGCCCACTGCAAATTACTGGAAATGTTATCAAACCCATATAAGGAGCAAAACATAACAAATAATCAACAGAGGGAAGAGTACATGTTATGGCTCCTACATATGCCTCTATTTAGAGACAGGACAGTAGATCGAGTAAGAAATCAAGGACAGAGAGAGAGAGAGAGTGGGCTACCAGTTTTTCAGAGAACTAAACACACCGTATGGATGTCAGCAATCTACAACATCCACCTCAAACACCTGTTGGAGCTGGCCGTCATTGTAAGACTTTATTATGTATTTATAAAAGAAACACAGTGGGGGAGGGGGGGGACAGAGTGAGCAGACAGTCATGATATTTCCTGGTGAGTGAGGGGCTTCTTAGATGTAACATTATATTTCAGACGCTGCAAACTTTACTAAAGAACTTCATAAAATGTGTGCAGCATGGAAAAGTGCTCTGGATATATGCTGCTGCTATCTGTAGTGTTGTTTTTTGTTTTTTTTTGCGTAACTCAAGTATTTTATAATATTGTGTTTCATCGACAAAATGCCATTCACTCTGATACCGGACTTTTTTTAATCGATATCTTTTATTGAGCAAATCAATTTGTCATCCATTCCAGACTCATATTCATGATCATTACACATGTGCACGTACTGTAACCCTGGAGCTGTTAGGAGCTGAGATATTTGAATAGGCACAAGAATAATATTTAAATAAGGTTATAAAGGGGCGCTGGTAGCCTAGCGGTTGGTGTGCATGCACCATGTACAGAGTCTGTAGTCCTCCAAGCAGGCTACCCAGGTTTCAGTGGAAACCTGTGGCTCCTTTCCTGCATGTCTCTCTCTCTACAATATCTATTCACTGTCCTATCTCGAAACAAACTAGCAAGCATAATTAAACAAAACAAAAACCCACCCACTCTCCCTTTCTCACTCATTAACCCCCCCCCTCACACCTCCCTCCACCCACAGAGACCCTCTCTCTCTTCAACTCATGTCCATCACTTTGGATAAAAGTGTCTGCTGAATGGTAGAACCATCTCGAGTGCTGTGCAGAGTGTGCTCGTTTGATGACAGCTGCACTGGATTTGTAGTTGTAAGACATGAAACGAGGGGGTTTCCAGGTTCTATTGAAAAGTTGAAGCCTGTCCTTCAGAGCACGTCTTGGCTTTTTCCAAATGGAGTGTGTTAGTTAAAGCTTAGGAGGTAGGGACAGTTGAGCTCATCTTCTCTGTTATGAGGCAGTGAGAGAGAAAGCGCTGCTGTGTGTCGTCTTTAGTTCTCTGAAGGTGACAGGTTTTTCTGAGAATAATGAGCAGAGCCGGCTCTGGTTTGATGGAAGTGTCCACGACCTCCGACATAATGTTTCAGGTGTCAATCCAAAAAGAACGAACATTTTGGACAGAAAACAAAACTGTGACGAAGTGTTACCACAGAAGATTGTCATTTATCACACATAGGCCACACCATGTCATGTTGTTTTTCCCTGATAAGGTCTTTAAAGATCCAAAAAACTATTTACATGTACTGTATGTCCAAGAGCATTCCTCCTTAGAAAACAAGAGTAGAGACCTCATAAAAACAAAACGCTCCTTTCCCTTTTGGGGCGTCACACTGTCCTTGAAATGTTGCCTTCAGGGCATTGTAACAGGCCAGCCATGGTTGTGCTGACAAGGTGATGGTGATGAATTAGCACATGTATGACTCATAGGTATGTAAGCCCTGCTGGCTTTATTTTTATTTTACTGTCATGGCATAACAGATAAAAGCATCGATTCAATCGTTCATGTTCATCGACATGTGACTCCTGTATTTAAACAATGCTCACGTTTTAATCAAAGGTTGTGAAATTAATGATGTCATGTTCAATTTTTATATTTTTATACATCTTGTTTTTCATCTCCCACGACCATAGACTGTAAATAAATGGATGACGCCTAAGTGACGTCACACATCTGTTAGTGCAGGCTGAATTTGTAGTCCAATCAATGGCGGTCGCCATGTTGGAAATGCTGTCTCACCCTCAACCACAGTTTCCACATACTCCACATTACGCCGTCGTCCGCTGCCTCTTTACTCAATAGTTTTGTTTCCACAGCGGGCGCCGCGGTCTGTCTCTGGAGCCTCCTCTACGCTCTGCTCCATTTCAAATACGCTAGAAGTACGCGTCAAGCTGGACATAATAGAACGACCCGGACAGGAAGTCAGACAAGCAAACACACAGAGCGTCCGGTCAATTTCAAAATAAAACACAATATACGGACTAACGATCGTCATTTCCATCACTTTATCAACATAACGTCAAAACAGGGCGCTGGTGGCTCAGTGGTTAGCATGTGCGCCCCTTGTATGGAGGCCTTGTTCCTCCAAGCGGGCGGCCCAGGTTCGAATCCCACCTGTGGCTCCTTTCCCGCATGTCATTCCCCTCTCTCTCTCTCCCTGATTTCTGACTCTATCCACTGTCCTATCTCTCCAATAAAAGGCCCGAAAAGCCCCAAAAAAAAACAGGCATGGAATGAACAACAAATCAACTTCAGAAATATGTGTGAATGTGCAGAATTCTGAGTGAAGCCCCCTGCTGGAAGCCATCATAATTTCTCTGTTACACACTCCAGTACCTCTACAAAGTGCACACATCCAAGTGGTATTTAACTTGAATGCATTACCTTGTATGAGCACCTGTCCTCCCTGGATGTAGAACTGCTGTGGGGCGTCTCCGGGCTGAGCTGCACACTGCAGGATCGTGGATCCAGGGTGTGAGGCCGTCAGGGCTTCAACTCCAGGGCTGGTCAGCTGGATGGCTCTCCCCTGAGAAAACGTGACTGTGGGGGGGGGAGAGAAAGTTTTGTGATTACTTGGCTGCAGTCTAAACATAAAAGCAGAATGGGAGGAGTTTTTGTTATGTATTTTAGGTTAAGAAAGAAAAACTTGCATTCGTGTGTCTGGTGGAAAATGTGAAATAACTGCGGAGCTTGTAACAAACCCTCATGGCTGAATTTCATACTTTCTACAGTTAATCAAAACAGCTCAATAGAACCATGATTATAGCATGATATGTGGCTGTGTAACAATTCATGAAGGTCACATTGGAAAATACTGTTCTACAAATATTCCATGTGGCCTTTCTTCTGAAGCTAAACTTGCTGTTGGCTAATTATCATGAAGACATGAAATCACAGGGAACAATAAAAACTTATCTGTATCATCAAAATTACTTACTGTTTAGCAACTGAATTACACAGTTAAAGGTTAAACTGAATGTGAATGGGACAAATGTAATTATATAACAGTTTGGAGCCATCATTTTATACTTGTTACTTATACTAAGTTGTGAAACTATCTTTGATTTAAAACAACATTTCAATAAATTCAATAAATAGTTGGATTCTAAAACGTATGCACATGCTCGCTAGATCAAGATGCGTACTCCACAAGTCATACCACTTTTGTCCACAGGGGCCGCCAAAATCAACACAAAATTGAAAAATGACTCATTGCTGCTTAAACTTGAAACTACAGGCTGTATAAAACATGGACGTAGCATCAGTGACGTCACCCATTGGTTTTCAAAACATTGTTTTGAAGACCAGCGATGGCGGCCACCATATTGGAAAAGCTGTCTCCACTTAACTTTTGGTCAATCTGGCAACAGGCAAAGAGGTGGAGTTGAGTCAGGCCTCAAGTCTCCTGGCAAACAGCTACATCAGCCACGCCCTTATTATGCAAACTATAATTCTTAGCCTTAACATCGTCAACGGATGAGTTACAAAAAAACCAACTCACCCCCTGTGCAGTATGTGATGATAAAGACGTGATCTATTCAGAACAACATTTGTTTTTGGAACCAGGCTGTAAACATGTTTATTTCATATTGGTGTTAATGTTAACTTCCTTGGCTTTTGCGATCAGCCTAAAGTGGCCACTTTATGAACGGCAGTGTTTTCATTTCTCAACAACGGAGTTACAAGTGCCATATTTACAAAAAGTAATCAGTTGACTTTAAATGAAAGAAAAAACTAATAAATGCCCAATGTGAGTTTTTATCAATATACCCTGGAAAGTGTTTTTCATTTCCAGTTCCTGGGATTGTTTATTCTCTACTTAGTACATTTTGATTTTTTAGTTGTTAATTTCTATTTCTCATGATTTCTCCCTTTGTATTGTTTTTTTTATTGCTGGAAAAATTGCACTTTTATGCTCCCCTGTACAGCACTTTGATCTGTTATTGAAATTGTCTAAAAGGTGCTGCATAAATAAAGTTAAATTGATTGACTGAGATTTGGTTGAAGACTCTTAACAGGTTAATGTCAACCCTTAAGATGCACTGTAGCAGCTGTACGGAGGCTTATACCTCCAAGTGGAAGGCTTGGGTTTGAATCCTCTCTCTCTCTCTCTCTCTCTCTCTCTCTCTCTCTCTCTCTCTCTCTCTCTCTCTCTCTCTCTCTCTCTCTCTCTCTCTCTCTCTCTCTCTCTCTCTCTCTCTCTCTCTCTCTCTCTATTCTCTCTCTATTCTCTACATCTTGGATTTGTGTTTCTGTGTCATATTCTACGTTCTCCAGAGTAACAGCACTAAAGCATGTTTGTTCTTTGAAGCAATCCGCCCCAATAAACAAATAGAAAACGTGTGATTTATTATTCATTACAAACGGGTATTTAGTGCTGGTACATTATCCATGACTGTTAAAGAATGTGAGGAATTTAAATTAAAGGGGGAAATGTTTCCAGAGCCCAAACTTTTGCTTTCCCAGACCGGTCATTAAATATAAAAACATGGCCTTGATAAACGGGTGTAAGTGCAGCTACTATCTCTGTTCCTGTGTGTACTGACTGTACTGTCCTGAGCTGGTCTGGTAGATGGAGGTCGGCACTGAAACTGAGGCCTCGCTAGAGACCTGCACCTCCTCCTCGTCATCCTCGTCATCCTCGTCATCCTCCTCCTCGTCCTCCGTCTTCTCTTCCTCGATTTTAGAAACCGCCGTAGTATCTGACGAAAGCTCGCTGAGTATTTTCCTGCAGGGAGAGGAAAGAGTCGCCTTTGAGTCATTTCACACGGTCAGTCGAACACGATCACACTTTACACACCACATGCTGTGAAACACGCGCCCTCTCTCTCTCCCGCTCTCTCCCTTACTGCTGACATCTTCTCACCGGTAAGACGGGCGCCTGGAGAGAAGCTCTCGTCTCTTCTGGGTGTCTGTGACCGACACGTCGTCACCCACCAGCTCGGCTACCGTGGCGTTCTGTAGAACAGAGGCAGTGTTTTTAAAAAGAGGTGAGTAATCTGCAATATTGATTTTTTTTTTTTTTTTTTTTTTTACATTTTTGGAATCACATTTGGTGTTAAATATTACCACTGAGGGGGCGTTGTGAGTGAACTGGGATGTGATAGAGGAGAGAAGGATGACGTCAAACACAGGACCTTAATCTTTCCAACACGTCATGTGTCTCAACAGCGTCTTTACAGATTCCCATGACACACACAGACAATCTCACACGTCTCTTTCTCGTTGTGTGTCACAACGATCTCTGCAACAGTCTTTATATTTTGCTCAAACCAAAACTCTTTTGACTCCCTCCAAACGGCCCCATTTTTTTTTTTGCAGACTGTGAAAAGGTTGTCCCTTACCCCACCTTCCCTACACTGGCCTGCAGAGTGATTAGGCTGAGTGAAATCACCAGTTTCGTCGTTCAGTCGTTCAGTTTATGTAATCTTGTTTTATTAGATTACCCGGGACTTTTGTTTTGTGCTATTTTTGGTTAATAAATCAACCACCTTATTTTGCATTGACTTCTGCCTCCTGACATCTTTTTTGCTCACCACCAGTGCCAAACAGCCACACTTAAATCCCAATTTTGAGGTGGACTTACAATCGGTAATGTTACACCGACCTGAACCACAAAAACACGATCCTACCTGTCCTGTTGAGTTTCTACAACTCTACAATTCACTTAGCAGATGCTTTTATCCAAAGCGACGTACATCAGAGAGTAAGAACAACACAAGCAAGGATCTAGAAAAAAGGGAACAATGTCAGTAAGAGCAAACGATCAGCTTTGAGTCTGATTGGACACACAGGTGCTGACAGGAAGTGACCAGAGGCAAAGCACAACATTGAGGGCAGTTCTTGAGAGCTCTAATCAGTATAGAAACCATCTTATAAGTCATCGTTATCAAACAAAAACCATCGTCATTACCATCATCAATAATATGGAGACCATCATCATTAAGTTAGTAGGTATTCATGAAAGAGCTGGGTCTTTAGCTTTCTCTTAAAGGTGCAGAGGGACTCTGCAGAGTTTCTTCGCTCTGCCTTCCAGCTTTTTTTAAAATGAATATCAAAACGTCTCTGATAACTTTGAAGGTTTTTTTTAACGTCATATACATATAGTATATCTCTGACCTCCTGATAGTTTGTGTACTGATAATGTGACATTAGATGAGGCGTCTTGTGTCTGATTAAAAAACAGTGTCAAATCAGAGCTGCCTCCTGACTCTGGAGAACAATCTGCACAAGGACTAAATCCTTCTTGACATTTATCTTCAAATCTAAACGTTACATTTCTTCACTCCTTTCATTTCCCTTATTGGTTTTTTAACCTTCCATGTACCTTCATCTGTTCCCCTTTTAAACTCTAATGTTGATTCACCAGTCTGTCAGGACTTCTCTCTCCTTATAAAACCACTTCAGAAGTTGAATCTTTGAAAAGTGCTGTTTGAATAAAGGTCAGAATGACATTATTATTACGCCGAGTAGTTGTGAATGTGTCTGAGTCATATCAAACCCTTCTCTTCTTTTGTAGCTCTAATAAAAAGGTTTATGTTTTCTCAGCCTATATAACTGTTGGAATAATAAGAACCCGAGTTTGACCTATTTATCAGTTAACTTTCATGACTCACTCCGGTGTATACAGTAACCTCCATACAGGCTGTTTTGGCTGTTTGAATGCCGCCAAAGCAGGTCAAACATGGGCGTGTTGATCACTCTCAGGGTAGAGGTTAGCTAACTCCTTCAGTCCCAAAGCTTTATATGTTTTTAAAAGCATTGTTTTAAAGGTCACATATTCTGTAAAATACACTTTACAATGTTTCTCTACAAACCCCCCAATCATGAGAAAAGTCCATCCTCTCTGTCTTTTGCCTGCTGCACTTTTCAGAAAATGTGTGCTCAAACAGGCCTCCCCGTTGTGACATCACAAAGGGCAGTAGCCCCTCCCCCAGGTGGGTGACACTCCCACAGCCAGGTGGTGTGTCCTTTGCTGTTATTAATGAAACCTCAGGGTTAACTCTGTTTTCTATCAAGACTAGGAAGGTGGTTGACTTCACTACCAGGGTGGATCACCATGGCAACTTGTGCTGATCACCTTACTTGCTCTGGAGCAGGTTATATTTTTGGGGAAAATTTTTAAGTAAGTAATCGACCTGTTTGAAACTCTGTTAACTGTCCAATCAGATCTCTTGCTCACAGAGCCATCAAATCAGAATCAAACCCACAGCTGCTGCGACGAGGGCTACAGCCTCTTTACAAAGGGCGCACAACACAACCTAGGCTATCCGACGCCCCTTACCCGTCTAGTTTTTCATAATAAATCCAGCTTTCAACTTAGTTTCAATTTACCTTTTTATAAACCACATACAGCTCTGTATGTCGATAGAACATCTTAAACAATCAGACATGCAACATATGATCAATAATTAATATTATTCAGATAGGCACCAATTGATCTCATCATCTTTCATTTTCAAATTCACAGTCTGATGGTTCCTCAGTTTGTCGCTGCAGCTGTTTTTTTTTTTACATTTTGGATCGTGTTTTCAACTTCTTCATATCATCTTTATATCACACTTTGTTCCGAGTTTGTAAAATATGACGATCTGTTGATGGCAGACAAAAAAAAAAAAAAAATCACATTCAGGTCACGTTTGCCTGCCAGCCAGAGTCTGTTGCAGGTAGGAAACTGATCAAAGCTTAGAGGAGTTTTCATTATTTTCCCATCCATTCACTGTTTTGTTTTAATGCTGAAACTCTGCTGCCTAAACTTTGACTCATCTACATCAATTGACTTTCAGTGTCATGCAGCGTCACCCTGCAGGTTAGTGTTGTCTGAATCTTCCCCTCCAGCACAGACCCAACAGATATGTCCTCTGAAAGTGAAGGTTGGACTGATGAGCTTAGACCTCAGCTCCTCAATCCTATTAACAGGTGGACTACATTGGACAAGACGCTCTCCATTATGTCTGTTTTAATATCTCAATGTGCTTAATGTTTTCATTTATTCCTGTCCTGGCATTAGCAGCAGCTCCAGACCTGGAAGTGTTACGCTCAAAAAGACGAGTCAGGCTAGTTTGTCCTCAACCATTGTTATTGACAAAGCTGAAGCTGCGCCCCTTCTTGATTTTGATTGGTCGGTGATGGAGAGGTGATTTTGAACAGTTATGAAATTTTCCAAAAGTTGAAAACTGTTTCCAGCTTAGAGCGCACCTTCATGAAAACAACTGATGCTTAGAGTGTGTTTTGTCAGGACGCTGAAAAAAAAACATTGACCTGTATTGGTTTTTACATTGAAAACGGGCGCTGCAAGCCCACAAAAAAAAAACGGTGTCAGTGGACAAACGTTCCTCTTCCTTTTTCTACGCACCTGTCTTATTAAAACATTGTATTTTTAAAGCTTTGTTCAGTTTTTTGATACTGACAATATTTTTCAAATGGAGAAATCCCACACACTAGTCTTGCTCGGCTGCTGTAAAAAGGGGCATTTTTGAACGGGTGTGTATGGGGACTTCTGTGGCTCCTGCAGCCAGCCTCAAGTGGCCCGCTTGAGGAACTGCAGTTTGGCTTCATTTTTCAACACCGGAGGTTGCTGCTTGATCAAATTATCATGTTTTCGTTCACCATCTTACAGACCAACCTTGATTCAGTGTAAAAAAAAAAAAAAAAGCTGAACTTGATCATGGGTAAAAATGATGTCACTGCTCGCTCTCACCTGTGGCGACTGTATGACAGAGTTCTGTGGGGCCTGGATGACACCTTGGACCTGCTCTGTTCCAGTCCCACCTGGAGACTCTGCTGCGAACGACACCTGCAGACAAAGACGTAAAGTTATTCAGCCCAAAATCCACACACATGTAAAATGGAATGAACTGAATTTTTTTTTAAAAAGGTGAGTACATGAGCGTCTGCAGGTGATGGACTGGCTTTGCTTTGTTTCTCCTCTCCATCTGACACAAAGTTGTTTAAACTGTTGCACAAATCTGACGAGACTTGGGTTTCCATAGTTGGTTTACCTAGACAGAAAGACAGACAAGCAGATAATCACTAAACCTACAGAGGCATACGAGGCGCTTTCTTATATTCAATTCCCCATAACAATATCAGAGGTTTGAAAAAAGGTGAAATAGGATGTTGCTTCACAGATCTTGTCCATCTGTGATTACAAGAATTTTCCAAAAACAATGGCAACATGGTAAACCTATAAAAACATCGCAATAGACTTGCATTCACCTTCCTGAGAAGTTACAAGTTCCCAGAAAATGTAAAGATCGATGTCTACTTTATCAGGGAGTTTTACGGTCACACTGAAAAGTTTAATGCTGTTTCTAATGTGTCAAGAATTCAAACCTGATAGGGCACACCTTTCTAGAGGTATGTTTTAAGCTCAGAATCTGAAGCTTGAGGACAAAACTAATAGTGGACATGAGAAGTTTTCCATGAAGGCTTCAAATGGCCGTTCTAAAAAACGTTTTTAAATGTCAAATTCAGTGTTTTTATTGATTGTGTGGATAGTTTACCATGTTTTGTTTTTTTAGTTGTTTTCCAGAAAGAATGAAAATGATCTGCCTAACAATCATCTCTGTTGACAGTCACTGTTTCTTCAACTTTTAATCCATCACATAACATCTTTTCTAATGCTCACTGAGGCGCTGGTAAAGACACTATTTCACACTTCAGGACAGAATAAATCTCAATTCAAACAGAGTATGGTGTGTTTTGTTTGTAATAATCATCCTTAATTCAACATAGTTTACAGATGTGATTGAGTGTGAAGATAAAGGATTGCCAGAAAGCAATTCAAATGTTTCTATCAGGGACACACTGTACCCTGTTTGAAAAAACGTACACCAAGAAGAATCTTTGGTTTGTGTTTAACTACGCAATAAAAGATCAACACATGTTTTTTGGTTTTTTTTCCAGTGTCCTCAATACAAAAAACTGGGGGGAAAAATATTGGTCAAGAAGTGTAGGCCCGGGGCTACGGTGGCCTAGTGGTTTGTACATTCACCCCATGTACGGAGGCTGTGGTCCACCAGGCGGGTGTACAGGGTTTGACTCCAACTGTCCTATCTCTAGAAAGAGGCAAAAAATGCCCAAAAATAAAACTTAAATTTTGTATTTTTTTTTTAATTGTAGGAAATTGGAAAACGTGGTGTGCAGATTTAGAAGTAGAAGATAATATGTAGTCATTGTCCTTCCATAAATACAAAACCCAGACTATTATGCACAATTCCCTTTTTTATTTGCTAATAAATAACTAAATGTACGGTAGTAGGCTCTCTGCAATTTCAACCATCATCCACTTTCATTGAGACAATTCTCTATTAGTGCAAATGAAAAAATAAAGCCATGCCGTTCCCCACAGTTAGTTTTATTTAAATCGAATCTATTAAATTTCAAACGATTAGAAAATAAAAAGGCAATTTCAATGAGGAATTTGTAAAAAAAAAAAAAAAAAAACGCTTTTTATATTTCGATATTTTGTGAATATTTTATTTTGAAGACACATTTTGGCTCAACTTCCGGCATCCATCTAACTCCGTCCCACTTCACGCAGCTCCGTAAACTTGAGCGGAAAAGAACGGCTGCCAGCAAAACTGACTTTTTTTGACCTCCATGTTGGATAATTCATGAACCAGCGCAAAGTTTTAAAGAAAAGTTTCGCACCGCAGACATGTTTGTTTGCACTCTGTCCTCGGACTCTTCCCTCCCGCTGAGCGAGCAAAAAAAAAAAAAAAAAAGTGACAGTTTTGTTTTGACTTACCGAAGTTTTACGTAGTCTGACTCGTCACTAATTACAGCATGGGTGGACGGCCTTCGTCTCCGCTCACGTAGTTTCACGTCAGCACTGACGACGCTGTGCCGAAAATGTCGACCGACCAGTCAGTTAAGCGTCGAAGATCGTCGAGGAGGAGCGAGAGCACTCACTCCCACCTACTTCCGCGTTCGCTTCGCTCTCGGTCAGAGATGGATGCAGCTTAGGTCACAGCAAGGGGCCACATTCATTTAATTCTCACTGCCAGAGGGCCAAATTGTAGAATACAAAAACGATTAAAGTCAATTATGTCTCAAATTTATCTCAACATATACCAGTGATCAAATATTATTATGGACATATTTCTTGTGAAGTGTCTGATGTAACTAGGACAGAGATAATATAAGTTTACAACGGGTGCGTCTTGTGATAGTATCTGAAGGAGATTTAGGAGTCCCCTCAGGTGGAATGTTTAAATTGAGGTATTGTATAGGAGTATTGCCACATGTGGTTGTGTAACGTGATGTTTTATGACCCATGACGAAAAGCGGATGTTTGGATGCATATAAGCAATTGTCTCTGTGTGTTCGAGAGAGATCATTATTGGCTTCTTGATCCTCCTGGTCAGACGTGACCAGTGATTCTGTTTCTTGCTTAAATAAAATTGTACTCTTTGAAAGCAAGTCAGTCTCAACGGCGAATTTCTTCATCATCAAACATATCAACAACAAGGAAATCCACATCACTTGTTTTCACTATTTCATGGCAGTTTGTCATCTTTTCTTCATGTTTCCAATTAATTGAAATGTCAAAATTGACCTGAGGGCAGGGTTTGCAGGGTGGTGTTGTCATCCTCTTCTTTTTTAATTTTTGCATCGTAATTATGACAATGAAATGGAATTACTACCTAATGGATTTATTGGATGATATACACCTGTAAAGGCTGTCAAAATAAATAAAAAAGTTGGTAAAAAAAACAAAATAATTGACCTGAGGGCCACATTGAGGGTTGATGGGGGCCGCCAGTTGTCCAACCCTGCTCTAGGTGAACCACCATTGCGTAAAAGCTTGTTTAAGACTAAGACCGGTAGTTCTCAACTAATGGGTCGGGACCCAAAAGTGGGTTGCAAAGGACTTTTCAGTGGGTCACAGATGTTTGCTTGGGAGAACAAAAGTTTCAAAAATACTTAGAAGTTGTTTTTTGTTTGTTTTGTATCTTTGTTCTGTCACCTGTTTTTTAATGTTTGAGGTCAAAACTGCTTCTTCTTTTTTTTTTTATAGTAAATCTAATTGGTTAAAAAAAATCAGAAACTTTGGTGAAGATGTTCATGAAGGATTTGGTGGTGGGTCCTGAGGATAGACCAGTTGAGAATAGAATTACTTTATTGATCCCAAACTTGGAAATTGTGGTTACAGCAGCAGGTTGTCCAAACACACAATATGAGCAAAGAACACAATATTAGCAAATTTAAACACAATATAATATTAAATACAAAGTAAATAAGCACTAAAAATATCAAAACTAAGAATGTGAATATATACAACCAGGATTTAACTTAGCTTAGCATTCCTAGTCTAAGAGAATCAATGTTTTTGACATTGTAAATGAACCTTTTTAGGGTTAAATTGAACTGTAGTGTATAATTTCTGATTGTGAGTATAGCATGAAGGTTATTCAAAAAAAAGTAATACATCTGTGAGCTATTTATATTTTCTACACATTTTATTGCATGTCTGTAACGGTCGGGACTTTTAAGCCATTATGGGAACTTCTGAATCTCAAGTAGAAACACAATTTAAATTTGTATTGCTGAACGTTAAATTAAATATATAAGGAAAGGGGCAATAGTGATGCACATTTTTGTCAGACAAGGAAATTGTCAGCGTTTCATGATGGTGACCTACTTGTTTGCAAACTAGAGTAACATTGCCACCTACTGGCTGACATAGTAATTACACCTTTGAAACCAGATCGCAACAGAATAAGTTTATCCCAATGTTTACATTTATATAACATTTTAACTTAAAAAAATAATAATAATAAAGAAAATGATACGTGCATAAAAGTAGCGGAAAGCCTGAGTTTTTGTCTGAATGCCATTAACAGCAGTGAACATTATAGTAAAGGTCATAACTATAACAGCAGAACTAATCTGCACAGAAAATTTCCATTTCTACAACCAAATAAATGTGCCAGAAGAAATCGAATAGTTAAATGTCTTTTATCGCAGCTTTTCAAAGGTTGTCTCTTTTGGTATCAAATCCATCATGTTAAATTCCCAGATATATTTCTCTTTGTCTGTCTTTATTTTAGAGATTTATGACAACCGATAGAGTCGCAAATCAGGGAGAGAGGGAGAGAGAGAGAGAGAGAGAGAGAGAGAGAGTGGGGAATGACATTTGGGAGAGGAGCCACGGGTCAGATTGAACCCGGGCCACCGGCTTGGACTACTATAGTCTCCGTACATGAGGTACCACTACGCTACCGAGGCCCGGATTTTGTTTTCCATCTAAGAATAAAACATTCAACGTACATTTAATATTTCATAAGAATAAATTAAGGAAAAAAACATATACATTATTATAAATAAATACTGAATTATTGTAATTTTACTATCATGCTGTAAATAAAGAATATGTATTTATATATATTTTAGAGATTTGTAAGAAATGTGGCAACAAGACAAATCTTTGTTTTTGAATTCCTTTATTTAGCTCTGACTCTGGCTGACCTCAGAGCCTCCATCTGTCCCCCCTGCATGCTGTAGGAGGTGGTAATGTTCAAACACAGACCCTGCTGTCATCAAAGGGCACAGCTCTGCACTGCCAGCCCCCCCCCCACCCCACCCCCCCCCCCCACCCCCCTCCCCTTTAATCTTTGACAGTGTGGCAGAAAATCACTTCATACTCAGGTGACCAGGACTGAATCAGACGCTTTATTTGTACTGTTAGAGTACAGAGTTAAATTAGATTGACATGCAATGCTCACAAATTGGGTTCACCACACAGGCTTCAGTTTGATAACAAAAATGATATAGCTGCAATTATGAGAGCAAATGTTCCCTATCCATCACTTTACAGCGTCACAGTGATCACAATGATTTGATTTTATTGCATAAGTCATTCTGGCCTATGTCCCACTCACCCCTCCGCTTCCCCACTGTTCCTTTCTCCTGCCTCATCCTCCTTTTTCATCCTCTTGGCGCTGTCCTGCGGCCGGAGGACGGAGGCTCCAGATGGTTGAGTACCAGCAGCAGAAGGGGGGACCTCAGGGGGGCACAAAGGCCTGACAGCAGGGGGCCAAATATGACCTGAGCCAGACAGCTCTTTAGCACAAAATTAGCCTGGGATGAACGCATAACACAATTACATGCTGTTAATACCATCAAAGAGGTATTAGAGCGTCCGCTTCTCGTTGCAGCTTGAGGCCGAGCTGTTCGTCTTTTCCACCAAATGTTTGTGATGATCTGATCGTGGCATTTCTGGCCGTATGACTTTCAAGATCTGAAGATGGCTTTCAAATGTCCTCAAACGATGCAGGAGGCTGCAGATGATGCGTTCAAGGTCATAATCAAGGTTTTTATTACTCAGATGGTTGGTGTGTTTGCGGTGTTGCTGCAGAAAAGTCAGCCAAAAGGACCAACATGAAACTACACTGGATCACAACAAAAGGTGTTCATTAATGGAACAGCTGAAGTGATGCATTAAAAACATGTAAAACATTAAGAAGAATAACACATTTTCAAGAATAACATATTTAACAAAAATATAATTGAAGAGTCGATGAGAAAAGTTGAATCAATTTCAGTTGCCAGGTGTGTTAATTAATATTTGTTTGCTTTTGTTACTTAGCCAGTTATTTGTATTCTTTGACTTCATTTTTGTAAAGCTTGACCTTGGATTAATTTAAATTACATTTTTCAACATGGACTAGTTGAGAGAAAAAAATCAAGCCACTACAGAAAGTATGCTCTGATTGTTGTTTGCTTTGTTTTGTAATGTATGTTTTTATTTTCACACTTTAAAGAGGACATATTATCCCCCTTCTCCACCTTTTCAAACAGTCCCCCTGTGGACTAAATGAAACATCTGTGCTGTGCTTTGGTCAAAATATAACATGAATCAAGCACCAGAGGAGGTTTGTGACCCTGTATAAACCAGCTCTCTCTGAACGCTCCGTTTTGGTGTGTGTGTCTCTTTAAATGCAATGAGCCCCCCCCCCCCCATAAAAATGGCAGACCTGCGCAAAAGTTTTGTTCTAGGCTGGGGGTGGAGTCCATGGAAGGGGAGGGGAGGGTATTTTTTTTGACCAGAATCCCACTGTGACATCACAAGGAGAGCAAATTTAAAACAGAGCATTTTCCTCTGTGTTGTAAAACTTATGCAGACCACAAACAAAGGACTGGATGGGTTTATTTCACATTTTGTGGGTCAGTAGACACTCAGGTTACCCAAATAAATGTTCAAACATACTGTACAAGTGGATTTTCCATAATATGTCCCCTTTAATATGTTCAAAATAAAGAAATAAATGAAAAAATCTTCTCTTCAAAACCCTCCACACAACCAAAACAGAATGCAAACACATCTCTTTGCTGTTTTGAATGTCCTGCCGAACTCTTTTAAATGTGATTTTCTAACCTTTAATTGTCCGTATGATGCAGTAAGATACAACCGATCAAGCGTGGCTGTGTTGAAATATGAATGGCGTTAAACAAGAAACACCACCTTAAAGATAGAATAAAATAATGAAAAACTTTTTATATTGGCACACCTGCTCTACTGCTCTACTCTAAATTTACTTAAATGATAATTTTAGTAAATGCAGATGATGTTTTCAGTCAGGATTGTGATGATTGAAGAAAAACAACATAAACTTTGATATTTTGGACATATCATTTTGTAAATAAAACAAAAATATTGTATTTGTCACCTTACTTTTTTAACTCGTGTATATTTCTAGGAGACTAAAAATCAATATAGGTAAAACGTGACTATATAGAAATCTGCCTTGGTTCTGTTAAATTCTCCAAATGAACTTACATCTAGTGATAATATTGTTTATTAGATTGTTTATTAGATTGTCCCCATGGCACCACAAGATGTCACCACTGATTCACGTCATGATCTTTCAGACTTAACCGTCCAA